TAATTTAGTTAGATTTGGTCCGCTGGAGTTATAGGAACAAGATATTTAGTTAGTAGCTACACACACACACACACACACACACACACACACACACACACACACACACACACACACACACACACACACACACACACACACACTCACACACACTCACATTATTAGTGCTTTAGTTTGTAATGTAGTGCAATTGTACACTAACCATTATCTGTTCATTTTATTAGTAACACAATTTATTGATCATTTCTCAGTTTATGACATTTACTTATACTATCAATAGGTTTTTGATGAAGGATACCTCGGAATTCGAAGTGATGGTACTGATGACATCTATTTGAATGTGCTCTACTCGACTTCAGGCAGACGTATCAATACTAAAGCATATGGTAGGACTACTACTGATCCAGTGTTAATAAACAGGGCAGTGGATCAGATTAATGAAGGATTTCCTAATACTTTCTGCAGTACATCTCCTCCAACACAAATAATAATAGCAACTTGGATAGATTTTCAGAAGTTTGACTCAAACCAAGTTAGTATATTAATTACTTGATACATGAAAATACTGTTGATAATAGCTAGCTACACTCTAACCACTTTATTTATTATTTTAGGGCAGTAACTTCCAATTAATAATTGTCACTAATGGAAACACTACATTTGGTATTGCACTTTATGTTAATGTAGCCATTGCAACAGCCAGTGCTGGAATAGGTTTCCAAATTAATAATGTTTATGAATCAGCTGATCCTTCTTTCTTTCCATTTGGTGCTACTGTTATGGATGCCCCTAGTATGATGCTTAATAGCAACATACCAGGAACATATATATTTCCACTATATGATATACCACCAGGTATGACTATAGTACATGTATCAACTGTTCCATATAACTGGTATATCTTTTAGATCCTTGCAGTTCTGTCTGCTATTCTTGTAAGCCCAGACTTGTTCAGTTGGCATGTGAGACTATGAGGATTAACGGAGAAGATGTACCAGCTTCTTGTAACAACTAATCTTATATCATTCCATTTTATTGTGTTTTTGTTTTAGTTTTATGTGATTAAATTATTTCTCAGTAGTGAATTAGTCAATTGTAATAGTAGAGACTAGAAATTATAGTTGTCATATGCAATTGCATAATTCTTGTCATAGAATATTTTTAATAACTATTTTTTGTAACAAATGAAATATGTAAGACAAGGAAGGAAGAGAAAGGGAGAGAGTGTCAACAAGTGATTGTAACAGTTTTTGATTATAAAATCAACTAAGAGACAGTACAGCAGGTACTATATAAAAAGAAAGATCCTATTTGAACAGATAAGCTGTATCAATTACTATACTACTGGTGGTAGGTGTACTCATTATGAATATTAATAATGCTTTAGGTGTACATGATGAAGTAGTGTTGAAGAATGCAAACATTGACAATACCAGTAATTACAGAAATCATACCATTATCTATCATCATGTTACAAGCAGTATATGATAATACAGTATGTACTAACACATATAACATTTTATGGGATTCCTGCAGACGACAGGAATCTATTTTAGTAACACATTGCCTTGTTGTACAGATTCCCATAAAACTGCTGTAGAGGATTATCTTTTATCTCCACAATTTTTGTTTCATCAGTATTGTAAAACTTTTGTTACATACAATAGCAATTATGGACAGTACATGAACCCACTCCATAAATTGAGAATAGTATAAACTATCATACCTTACTGTCTTTGCGTGATAAAGGATTGGTGAAGAATTCAAATATTGACAATACCAGTAATTAGTGACAATTAAGAAATCATACCATTATCTATCATCATGTTACAAGCAGTATAATGGTAATACAGTATGTACTAATACACATATGTACCTGAACACAGTTGATATTACTAATGTCAGTATTATTGTATTATATATATAGAAATACCAGTAAACCTTACTTAGGAATAATAAGGAGTGGTAACACTGTGGGGGCTGCAATTAGTGAACATGCATACAGTAACACTCAATAGAGACACTTGTTACGTTAGTATAACAAATTACTGGTCTGGATTGCCTGCTAAAGGCTGATTATAAAAAATTTATAAAATTATTAAATTTGACAAAATTATTTTAAAATTAAAGAATCTGCTTTTCAAGTTGCCTCTCTCTTTCTTGGAACTCTCTCTTTCCTAAAGCTGTGTCTCTCTTTCTTGAGGCTGTCACTGAAGATCTTGTTCTTATTGCTGACTACCTTCAATTTGCCTTTTAAGTTGTTGCTCTCTTTCTTGATATTCCTTAAGTTGTCTCTGTAAATTCTGCTCTCGTTCTCTGGCCTCCCTCTCTCTTTCTTGTCCTTGTTGCTGTGCTTGTTGAAGTTGTCGTTCTCTTCCTTGAAGTTGTTCCTGTAGTCTGGTTATAAGTTGTTCCTTTTCTCTTCTCTCCTCCTGTAGTTCCCTTTCCCTTTCTTGTAGTACACGTCTCAGATGGTCTATTTCTCTTCTATCCTCAGGTTGAACAGGTTGAGATGCTTCCCATTCTCTTCTCCTTTCTTGTAGTTTCTCTTGATACTGGTCCAGAGGTATTACACTAGTAGACCAATCATTATCACTAGTGTATCCTATACAGTAACAAAATAGTCAATAAGTTAATGACAAGTACATGTACATGTACATGTATAATATCAGCTATTACTGTAATATGAAGCAAAAAGGGTTAACCATACAGTTGATTTACAATTGTTATACAGTATTCAATATGTACAAATTGTGTATATTTAATACATTTCTATTCACATGTACTCACTGAGTTCAATAACTGCTGTATCACTTATTGTCAAATAATCTCTCAACCCTCCAAACTCAATTATCCAGTTAGTAGTTGGCGTCACACTCCAAACTGAGAGAGAATGCTCCCGTCTATTAGTGACAATGTCTGGTATATTAAACTATAAAGGAAAGAATACTATAACATAAAGAATGATAATATTAATTCTTTTGCATTATTTTGTCCCATCAATGAAAATGATTCTATACAGTACTGTCCACCGTATAAGTGGTTTTAGGGTTGCAAATTTCACAAATATTTTTCCTGATTCGCAAAAATTAAATCCTCGAAAATCAATTTAATATGATATTCACATGGCACACGTGGTAGAATTCGCAAAATTAAAATCCGCAAATTGGAATTTTAGTAGATTTTGTGAAATATAATTCTCTTGAAAAAACCGCTTATACAGTATTAGCAAAATGGTATTAGTGTAGTATTGGTATTTGCCTATTAGCTAACATACATAAGTACAATGCTACTTATTTACTTGTAGATAATAACAGGGGCTTTGCTGTATTGTTTTTATACTTACCAGTTGCTTCCATGATTTATTGTTAATATCAAATATGACGCAGTCGTAAGCACCAACTCCACCCACCACTAGTAGGTGTGGTCCTGAGCTAGTGTTAATCAATACACTGGAATGAGCCCGTCTTCCCTTAGGCCATTGTACTGACCCACCAGGATTAGATAACTTTAAACAATTCTAAAATAATAAAATAAAATTTAATTATATCATAAAATATGAATAATACCTTAAAGCCACTTATTTTTAAGTAGACAATTTTTTTTTTTTTTTTTTTGCGATTTTTTAATGGTACTGATTTAGCGAGTACTAATTTTTGCAATTTTGCTCTTTTTTCTCAATTAATAACTGTTAATAAACCTAAAATTATTAATAAATGCGAGTACTAATATTTGCGATTTTAAAGCCACTCGCAAAAAAACACAAAAA